GAGATCTTGGGCATGCACACACACACACACACACACACACACACACACACACACAATCTGGTGTGATTTTCAAGCCACCGGGTCTGGGACTCAAGTTGCGATCGACGACGTGGGAGTCCACCGATGTAAGTGCTACACCATCTGCTGGTCCTGGTATTTGCTTTCTAATTAGACATTCCACAAGGCTGTGGTGTCATACGGGAGAAATTTACTTCGGTTTCTCTGCTGTGCATGCATGTGGTGACAGCCAACATTTACTGAGCACCTCCTGATAACCCTCGTCAGCTCTGACTCTCACCTCAGGGTCACTCCTGGGAGGCAGGAGCTCGCACTGTTCCCATGTCACCAAGGAGGTGCCAGGCGAGACCCAGTGAGCTTACCACCTTTGTCAGGAGGACAATGTAGGGGGCTGTTTTGTTTGTTGTAGAGAGAGACACGGAGAGAAAATGAGAAGTCAACACCTCCCAGAGGTGATGGCTATGCAGCCAGCCCTTCTCCTCCATTCTCCTCTCAGGATTTTGAGTATGCACGCACATGCACCCGGCATGATTTTTAAGCCACCAGGTCTGGGACTCGAACTGTGGTCAGTCATATGAAAGTCCAGCACCTTAACCACCACACCACCTGCTGGCCCCAAGGGAAACAATTTTTAAACAAGAGAATAAGAAGGACTTGGTTTCTCTCTTGATATCTCTTACTAACACAGAGTTAGAGTTCCTTCCCTGGGGAACCTTCGGGAAGCCTGATACGGGGTCAGCAGCACACCCTCCAATGAGCCATGCAGGGGGCCCCATCGGACCAGTGTTTGTCAATGTTGCCTCTGTTGACGTTTGGGACTGGATATATTCTCTGCCGTGGGGGTGTCCTGTGCCTTACAGGACACTGAGTAGCATCTCTGGCTTCTACCCACTAGGTGCCAGTAGATCCCTGCAGTGCCCAGTTGTGACTAAGGAAAATGTCTCCAGACATTGCCAAGGGTCCCCTGGGGGGAGATCGCCCACTGAGGGTGACTGCCTCCGGCTGAGGGTGGAAGCTCAGATGGGTGCTTTGGAGAGGCTGCTTCAGTCAGGATGGCTCAGTCTCTCTGTGCCCTCAAAGTCCTGGGATGTCTCTCAGGGGCAGCAAGGGGCTTCTATTGGCTGTGAGGTGAATAAGGCGCCTTGTCAGACACTGCATCTCTCATGACAGATCACCTAGTTCCTTCACTGACAAAAGAGAAGGCCTTCGTTCAATGGTTCTCAAACTTCACTGCACAGTGGAATCACCTGGGGTCTTGAAAAGTTCCTGCTGCCTGGCCCCCACCCCAGACACTGCTGTCATCTGCAGCGGGGTGCGGCCTGGGCTCCCCAGGTCATCCTGGTGCAGCCAAGTTTGGGAAGGGCTGACCCAGTGAGAGGAAGTCTGAGTCCTGACTAGAGTTGGCTGGCTCCAGACATGTCTGTATATCTTAAAGACCTCAGATCTGTGGAGGGCTTTATTGGCAAATGTTAATCCCCACCAGTAACGCCTCCTGAAAGACGAAAGACGAGAGCACCAGGATCAGCGTAACTCCCGACAGTGGGGAGCACTTCCCTTTGCAAATCACTTTGCTTTAAAGGACATTACTTGGGACGGCAGGTGGTGTGGTGGCTAAGGGTGCTGGACTTCCACATGGCCGACCGTGGTTCAAGTCCTGGACCTGGCAGCTTACTTTCTTGCTTCTCTCTTCCTTTCTGTCCCTCTCTGGTCAAACTGGAATGGATGAATAAATAAATAATGTTAAATAAAAAATAATTCTTTTAAAAAAAATAAAGGACACTACTCAGGCCTTGTCAGCACATGCTGCCAGCATGCCAACAGGGTCTGAAAGTGGGAGTCGAAGGACCAGGTCTGAGTCCCGAGCCCGTCCTGCCTACTGTGTGGTCACTTGGCCTCCTATGGCTGGGTTTCTTCCTCTGCAGGCTGGGGAAAGGGCAAGAGGGCGTGAGCAGAGAAAACCACACAGAAAGAACCAGCCCAGTGCTAGGCACAGAAAACGCATGCAGAGGTAATTATTAGTAAAAAAGCCAAGAATTTCCTCACACCACCTGGCTTTCTGCTCTGGGAGGGAAGAGGTTGGAACCAGATCTGTGCATTCTGGTCTTGGCTCTACGGTGTCCCCTCGCTCCCCACACACACAGATACTGAGCTCGCCGAGTCCCACATGGCCTGACAGCGACTGTAACACCCTGACCTCAGGAGAGACCAGCCCCCTAAGGTGCGTGCTTGGAGAAGCTATAAAAACATGGCCAAGTACATCCGCCTTAACTGCCCATCCCAGAACGTGAGCTGTCAGCCGCGGGCACAGAGGGGCTCGGGAAGGACGAGTTGGTCCAGCAACCAGGGCAGCTGTTTTGTCACGAGTGGCCTTGTCTCTGCGTTTCCGGGCCGTGACTTCCAACGTGATGGCATGGCATGGAAAGAACTACACTGACAGGACTTAGGGCCACTTTGCTGTGTGTTCTCTAAGCCAGAGCCCCACAACCAGGTGGTGGAGACCTGCCCTTCTCTGGATCCCGCTTGCTCATGCCTTGGGGGCCACTCACGTTTGTGGCTCCTAGTGACACACAGGCGTATCTGCAGTGTAACAGGATGCACAGGGTTTCCACCGGGGGAGGCAGTGGAAAGATGATCAGAAAGAGTATGTACAGTAACATCCACATTTTTCAGACAGTGGGGAGAAATGATTTTTTTTTCTTTTTTTGGAGAGGTTTTTAGCTATAGGGCGCATGCACTCACCAGAAAGACAGAGAGAGAGAGAAAGAGAGAGAGAGAGAGACAGACAGACAGACAGACAGACAGAAAGTGAGAAATCACCCCCCAGGGAGGATGGCCATGCCGCAACCCCTTCTCCTCCATTCTCCTCTTGGGATCTTGGGCATGCACGCACACGTGCCCGGCATGAGTTTAAGCCACTGGGTCTGGGACGTGAACCGCGGTCGACTACATGGGAGTCCAGTGACATAGCCATTATGCTAACTGCTACTCCCTTAGGTAACTTATAAGGGTTCATCCATTTAGCACCCAGCCAGAAAATGTCATGTTGCCCATGCACCATGGCTCTTCCTTCCTTCTTTTCCTCATCCAGCAGACATTTACAGATACCTACTACCTGGGAATACAGTTATCAATAAAATCAGTAAAAATCTTTGTTCTCATGAATTTACAAACTATTGGAGAGGGCAGACATGAAAGATGTATGTAAAGAACTTATATTAGGAACCAGCAGATGGCATAATGGCTATGTTGCTGGACTCCCACGTAGTCAACCATAGTTCGAGTCCCGTACCCGGTGGCTTGAACTCACGCCGGGTGCGTGGGCGTGCGTGCCCAAGATCCTGGGGGGAGT